AATGCGACCCTACGACAGATGAAAGAGCTGCTCAAGAAATGGGAGCTATTAAACGGCTTGAAAGGGATTGTAAAATATGCTACATCCAAGATGGATGCAAAGAAAGTCGTCGTCGAAGCAAAGCCTAGAGCGTGTAAGAGCTTATACGAAAAACTGACAACAAAGGAAGGAGAGAAAGATATCAGTCGCATAGCAAAAGCCAAAGGAAGAAGAACAAGAGACGTCGGTAACGTGAAGTACATAAAAGATGAAAGCGGAATGCTGCTGACCGATGAGAAAGATATTCGCAACCGATGACGAAGGCACTTCCAAATGCTACAAGACGAAGAACGTCCAAGAGAGGTCCCACAGAACTAGGGTACAGTCGAAAAAATTCCAATGGACGAAGTGGAACAAGCCTTAACTCGAATGAAAAATTAAAAGGCCATTGGCCCGGACAGAGTTCCTACAGAAACATGGAAAGCACTGGGACAAAAAGGCAGGGTTTGGCTCTGTGAACTGTTCAACGAAATTATGGAATGTGAGAAAATGCCCCCTTGGTGTACAGCCTTTGCTTCTCCAGATTGAGAAGTCAACAGCTGCGATGGTTTGGGCATATGTTGCGAATGCCACCAGAAATGAAGGCTAAGCAACGGCTTCTTGCTCAACCAAACGGGAGAAGGCCCAGGGGACGGCCAAGATTGACCTGGTGCAAATATATGGAACGAGAGAGATTGTTCAAGACTCCAGTTGTCTTCTGCCGAAGCTCAGACTCTGGCACTATCTGACGCGTCTGTCTTCGCGATCCGAAAGGACAAGCAGTCACAGAAGATGAAGAAAATGCCAGAATTGTGGAAGTAGAGTATTCTGATGCCAATGTACAAAACGAAAAAGGACATTCTACCCTGTGAAAACTACCGGAAAATTAAACTGCTTATGATGATGATATATGAGATGGTGCTGGACAAGAGACTGAAGAAGGAGGTCGACATCACCAGGAACCAGTTTGGCTTTATGCCATGCAGATCAATCATGGATGCCATCTTCGCTTTAATATCAGTCCTCGAAAGATGCAGAGAAGGCAGACAAGATATTCACACGGTGTTCCTAGATCCGGATATAGTCTTTGACCGAATCCCGAGGCAAGCATTTAGGTGGAGCAAGAGAAACAACATTTTGTCCAAGAAAAACATCAGGCTTACAAAGGACATGTACGACAGAGTGACAACGATTGTCCGAAGTACATGCGGCGAAATTGAACAGTTCCCTGTATGGGTAGGAATCCACCAAGGATCCGCACAGCCCATTTCAGTTCTCGATGGCGACAGAAGCGATAACCGAGGATCCGCAGAAACCAGCCCCATACTGCATGCTCCATGCAGATGACACTGTTGTCCAGCAAAAGCAGAGAAGTTCAAGCAAAAACCGAGGCAATGAGAACAGAGCTTAAGAATAACGCCTTCGACTCAGCAAAGGGAAGCCAGAATATATTGCGGACTATTTCAGTGGGGAAAACAGGTTGAGATCCGTCAAATCAATCAAAGTAGCGGGATGTGCCGCCTCAAACCCAAGAATTCAGCAACATTGGTTCCATCCTCAAGATAATGTGTAGGTTAAGAGCGAGGTAAGAAGTCGGTAGAAAGTGGCTTTGATCAAGTGGAAAGAAGTGAGTGGTGTGCGACAAGAAGATGCCCGTTAGACTGGAAGGGAAGGTGTACAGAACGATAGTAAGACCGATGCTTCTGTACGGAGCGGAAAGTTTGGCCACACTGAAGAGACATGAGCAACAACTGAACTCGATAGAAATGCGAATGCTCAGATGGATATGTGGTGTCACCAGAGAGAACCACATCCGAAACAGCTCCATAACAAGCACTCTAAGAGTAGCACCAATTTCAGAAAAGTTTATCGACAGCAAGCTCCGGCGGTTCGTTTACATGAAAAGAAGACCAATCGAGTACGCTGGAAATATGGAGAAAGCACTGATAATGTCAAGGAAGAAAAGAAAAGGTGGACCGAAAAAAGGAGGTGGCACGATGTTGTCAAGAACGACATGAAACTGCGAGGATGCACCTCAGGCTTCATAAGGACAGAAAAATGTGGAGGTTGACTCGATTAGCGGATCCCTATTAAAGGGAACATGTTAGAAAAAAGAAGATATACCTGCGGATAGTTACATTTTGGTAGGTGTCCGAACAGGTTTGTTTTCGGCATCGACCTATGATACAGTTTTGCATTTCATTTGCTGCAGGTACTAAATTACCATGGAGCAGTGGCCTAGGCTTCTATAAAGAAAAGGCAGCGTCACTGAGCCGTGTAAACTAAGAGAACTGGTACTAACTGAATATTCTTACCGGCGATATCGAAAACTAGTAATCTATAGTAATCTGATATACTAGTAATCTGGTATATATACACCAAAGCCGGTACTTATTATTGTAGCTAGGAATTCCACTTTACTTTTTTTAAGTCGATAACCAAATTTTTGTGAGAGTTTAACCAAATTTTACGAAATGGCTAGAAAACGCAGTGTGAAGTTACGACAAGAAAAATTCCCGTGTGAAATACAGAACTGTTATATACATTTCCTGAATTTCCTATATATAGAATTTCCGAAAAAAGACAGTTCAGATCAGAAAATAATTTAAAACATCAGAATCTAAAATTGCACACATAATGCATAAACACGAAATGTATCACGTACGAAGCCGAAACAAATAAAAATGATTATATTTTGCAGGATGGAAGCAACACATTTGCAGGCTACAGTACCAAGAAAACATGCAAGTACATTAAACCGCGAAGAAAGACTTAACTGCAATATCAAACACGATCAAAATTCATATGTATCGCAGGTAACAGAAGTTGCAGATAAACTCTGGTCAGTGAGGCAAAAAGGTTTATCATTTTTATGAATTTTATAGACGTTTTCTTGAACCATTCGGTAAAGTTAATAAAAGCGAAATACTAATAAGGTTTCACAGAAACAATCACGTTTGGTCATCAATTTAAAAAGCTTAGAATTAGGGACATGTGTAAAACAAGCATTTAATCACCGATTGTCAAATTTTTACCATAACGCTGATAGTGCATGACATCATTCAACGGTAAATGGTCTGTCAACCGATCACCACCCCATTGGCGCATTACGCTGTCAAAAGTATAGTACGCATCTATTTGATGACAAAAGCAACCAGATAGTCAAATGGCAAACATTAGCATCCGAGGATACGAGAGCGAATTTGCAAACAGCTTCTTTTGACGGCTTAAACAGATTCAGGGATGGCAGCTGATGTGGTAAGTGAGAGAGACCTCTTCAAGAGCTGCATATAGGAGGCTTCTGCCGAATGCTGCCGTTAAAACGGTTGCTCTATCGCCTAGAAGTCAGGAAAGAACCTTCTGGCGGATAAGAGCGTTACAGATGGCACTTAAGGAGAAGCAGGCTACATTCAAGAAATGGCTAGGGAAATAAAGCCTTCAACTCGCGTGCGATATGTCAAGGCGGCAGCAAAAGCTGTTGCGAAAGCCAAAGCTGATTCCTGGGAGAAGTTCGGTGAGGAGTTGGAGTCGAATTTCCACTCGGCAAAAAAGGTGTTCTGGCAGACCATCCGCTGGACCCGAGGCTGAAAAAAGGGCAGTCTAGGTGTCTTG